CCTTCTTTTTTCCCCCTCCCTCCCTCCTTCCATCCTTCCCTCCCCGCCCCTCACAGCAAAACGTTCACGGGTCCGGCTCCCAGCTGATCCGTCGCAACTCGGCCAAAGGGACACAACCCAATGTGGTCTCCCCTGTCAAGTCGAGCAACATCCAGCGCAGCAAGTCGCTGCACGCTGTCAATCAGCCGGCCAACGACGCTGCTTCTTCCCCTCCTCCCCCATCCGCTTCTGCTTCCTCCTCCTCCTCCTCCTCCTCCTCCTCCTCACCTTTTAAATCTCTCAAACATATCCGAGATATTAAGCAAAACGCAGCGGTGGTTGCTAATAGAGGGTTTAGCAGTAATAGGTCTCATAACGCCCCTATTATTTTGAGAACTTCAACTACAAATGGCGCAAGTAGTAATAATAATGCTGGGGGTAGAAGTAATAACAATGAGGGCGCTAGTAGAATTGGTGGGAATTACGCAGGCAACAGTGAGAGCGAGGATAGGGCCGCTGTGGGCGCCAATCTTGGGAACAGAGCGTGGCTGAAGGACGCCAATCTTGCCTCAGTGGCTGGGGGGATATCTGGCACGGGCCGAAGAGGGTCAGGGGTCAATTCTAGCGCCAACGAAAACACAAACGATGGTGGAATGGTGTCGTCTTCTTCATCTTCTTCTTCTTCCACTACTACTATTACTACTGGTGGTGGTGGCGGTGGCGGTGGTGGTGGGTTGTATGTAAAAAGGCGAGCAGGGTCCCAGCCTCGAGTTGTGACCACTTCTGTGTTCCCAGCTAGGGACTCCGCTGAGAAAGGGGACCCAGTATCCTCGCGATACACTTCTACAACAGCTGCTTCCTCATCATCCTCTTCCTCCTCCACCCCTGTATCCGCTGCACTCCCGCCTCGACCACCCTCCTCATCCTCCTCCTCTTCAGCTATTGCTTCGTCCCCTTTTTCCTCCGCTTCAGCGAATCCCGCGTCTTCGTCTTCTTCTTCCTCTTCCTCCTCCTCCTCCGCTTCGCAAATCCGCGTGCTTCGGTCCAAACAAACCGGAGCGCCCAACGCGGACACCCCCGCCCCCTCTTTCGCCCACACCAGCCCTCTCCAGCGTGCTCAAGGAGTGAGTAAGTCCCAGATCTTATTGCAAACGCCGGCGGCCTCGGGCTCTTCCTCCTCCTCGTCTTCTGGTGGCCAAGAGTTCCGAGGTCTGCCCAGCGTCCGGTTGCTCGCCCAGTCGTTCGGCAGCAACACGGCCCTGAACCAGCTCCCCCCGCACAGCACTAACCCCCGCGCACTGAGTGGCAGCCACACTAACCTGTCTCCCAGCCGGGCGGTGGTCCGGTCCAGCAGCAGCGTCTGCATAAGCGAGAGCAGACGACCGGCCGCTCGACCCTCCAATAATTTTCTCTTCATCAAGGGCAACAACACGGGGGCGCCTCAACAGCAGCAGCAGCAGTCGGGACTACAGGACGAGCCTGTGGTGCTCATCAACGGCAGGCCACAACAGCAGATCCCACAAGCTCAACGGCCGAGCGGAACTACCACCAGCAGCAGCGACAGTAACGGCGGTGTGAATGAACTGGAAGCGGCGAGAGCGAGGTTGAAATCGAATAGAAATTCAAGGGAGGTAATTGATGATTACTCTGTTTCCAACGGTAAATCTGGGGTTGTTGCCCCTGACCAGTTCAGTTATCCGTCGAGCGGGACGTCCAGTGAGCAAAGAACAGAGAGAAACAACGGAGGTGTCTACGTCAAGAAAACGGGCAACGAAAACAAATCCAACATCTCCAGTGCCTCGACAGACTCGCAGCCTTCCATAACCGTTAAGTCCATCAACTCCATTTCCTCCCTCGCTAACAGCAACATCAACCCCTCTGGCCCCACGTCTAGCCAGACAACCAAAAATGTCTCCTCCTCCTCCTCTTCGTCCCATGTGTCTTCCACATCCTCGATATCTGCCAGTTCCTCAGCTCCCAAACTGTCAGGGTCGGCAGAAAACAGCATTGTGGCGTCATTTCTATCTTCAAAATCGGGACTCGGTACGGGGAGAGCAGATGTCCCAATCCACTCAACAACTTCTGCTCGCTCTACCACAGGCGGCGTACGGTCAGCAGCGCAGCCTAACCGCAACTCGGATTACTTTCCAACAACGACATCACGCGGAGAGTCCCCACCTCTCCCTCCCTCCTCCTCCTCCTCAATTGTCGATACTTTTAAAGCCACGCCCCACGCAGGGGTCGCCAACATCCGGCGCAGCAAGTCCAGAGAGGAGCTCCAGGCAGCAACGGTCACAGCACCAGCAGCCGGACACCAACAAGGCCGGCCCATGGACCGCGACTCTCTGCTCAGACAGATCCAGGCGCGCCGAGTGGACCACGAGGACAACTCTGTCGATGGTGCTGGGAGCGGAAGCAACTTCCGAGCTATGGCCAAGCTGTCGCAGTCCATGCCCACGTTGTTCCGGGAAGGTAAGTGGGAACCCTGAACCCAAATAGTTTTCTCAACGAAATTTCAGAAACGTTTTTTGAAAACGGAAGGTAAATGGGAACCCAGACCCTATGATTTTTTCAATGAAATTTCAGAACTGTCTTTTGAAAACAGAAGGTAAATGTGAACCTGAACCCCTATTTTTATTTTGTCAAAGAAATTTCAGAACTATCTTTTGAAAAATGAAAATAAAAATTACATGGGAACCTGAATCATATAGTTCTCTCAACAAAATTTTAGAACTGTCTTTTGAAAAAGGAAAATAAAATTAAATGGGAACCTGAAACATACAGTTTTCTCAAAATTTTTTTAGAAATGTCTTTTGAAAATGAAGGAACTCCGGGTCCTTGGCCAGTTCTGTTTCTAATTTTAACCAGACCTTATTGGCACATTTTTTTTCTTCTCTTCCTTCGAGATTTAATCCTTGGTTTTTGAGGTTTCGTTGAGAATGGTTTAATTTTCACTCGTTGGACAACACACACCTTTATCATTCTGAGCTGATGCTTATTGGCAATACTCTGCTTATGTTCTCAACTGCACATTAGATTTTATAAAAGTATTCTATTGCATCATGGTCGAATTTAATTTTTTGAAAAGCCACATGAAATATAAATCACACCAACACGGCCCTACTTGTGCGTGCGTGTACACCCATGCACACACACACACACACACACACACACACACACACACACACACACACACACACACACACACACACTCACAAACACACTCGTACACGCATGTACTCACCCAGTGCGCACACACAGACACACACCACATCCACACGTGTACGTGTTTGGTTGAGCACAAGCCGACACAAGGTCTGTTATCCTTACGAGACCTTGTATCATAAGTTGACATCATCCATCCATCCATCCATCCATCCATCCATCCATCCATCCATCCACCCATCCATCCATCCATCCATCCATCCATCCATCCATCCATCCATCCATCCATCCATCCATCCACCCACCCATCCATCCATCTTACATCAATGTATCTTTATATA